CACATTTAATCAGCTATATGGCACTGGCGTTTTGGCTGCCCCGCCGGGGACAGCACCTCCCCCGAGCTCTGCCCGGACTCGTGCCTGCAGGCGTGACCACGTGATGACGGCGGCGCACCTCCTCCTCGAGGGCGAGTGGCGGAAGGCCGCCGACCAGCTCACCTCGATGGCGGTGCGGCGAGATGACACGAGATTGCACGAGATGACACGAGATTGCACAGCTCACCTCGATGGCGGTGCGGCGAGATGACACGAGATTGCACGAGATGACACGAGATTGCACAGCTCACCTCGGTGGCGGTGCGGCGAGATGACACGAGATTGCACGAGATGACACGAGATTGCACAGCTCACCTCGGTGGCGGTGCGGCGAGATGACACGAGATTGCACGAGATGACACGAGATTGCACAGCTCACCTCGGTGGCGGTGCGGCGAGATGACACGAGATTGCATGAGATGACACGAGATTGCACAGCTCACCTCGGTGGCGGTGCGGCGAGATGACACGAGATTGCACGAGATGACACGAGATTGCACAGCTCACCTCGGTGGCGGTGCGGGGCCGGCTGCCCGCCGGAAGAAGAAGAAGAGGAGGCGCCCGCCCTTCACACGGAGGGCTGCGAGGCAGGTGTGGGACTTGCTGCCCGACCCGGCCCGCACGCGCGCCTTCCTGCGCGCAAAGATCCAGACCGAGGGCTTGCGCGCGTACCTCATCTCGTCGTACGCGCACTTCGACTCGCTCTCCCTCTCGGCGCTGGCGGAGCGGTTCGATCTCCCGCCAAACGAGACGCACGCGCTCGTCTCGAAGATGCTCCTCGACGGCGCGCCGCCCGCAGAGCTCGCTCTCCCGGCCCGCCTCGCGGGACACGTCCAGGACACGTCCAGGACACGTCTGTGTCACGCCCCTTAGGCACCGCCCACTGATGAGGCCGCAGCCCTTCGCAGGCCGCCCTCTTCTCATCCTCCCACTGTCTTGATAGGCACCATCCACGCTTGCTGGGACCAGCCGACCGACACGCTCGCCGTGCAGCGGATGGAGCCGACCAAGCTGCAGTTCCTCGCTCTCCAGTTCGCCGACAAGTGCGCGCAGCCCGTCGACACGCATACGACAGAGGGCACACCGAATTAGAGTGACCGAATGGCCAATGCTGCAGGTGCGCGCAGCTCGTCGAGGCGAACGAGCGCGTGCTCGACTCGCGCACCGGTCTGGCCGCAGCTAGACGCAGAGACGCACACATCCCTTGCCTCCCCTGCCGCACCCCACTGCTGCTGCTGCCACCGCCGCACGCCGCACGCCCGAGTGCCCTACTCGGCCCTCCCTCCACTCCAGCATTTGCGATGCCCCCCCCCCCCA